TGGAAGCAACATAACCGGATACTGACTGCCGAGGATATGCTCAGCTTTATAACCCGTAATCTAGGTCGCCACCTCTAACGAGCTAGAAGAACAACATTAATGTGCCCGGCAATAAAACAAGGCTTCCACCAGTTTTTTGCTACATGTTGCAGTAGCTAAAACGTATGAGCCACGGAAAATAGCATGGAACCTACCACAATGATCGGATCTATCGACAAATAGCTATATACCACATAAGGGAACTACCTGATTAGGCGTTATGTTGCGGTGTAGTTGAAATAATCTTCAACACCTTGCGCATTGAAAACCAGCGAGTTATGCTATCACGAGGATTATCGCGGGGGTGCCAATCCGTAAGCTTCACCAGTAAAGTGCGGAGGGAATACAAAGAGTTGGGGGGACATAACAGCTGATGGAGAATTTATGTAAGCGTTCTTTGAACTTGCGCGAAAAGCAGCGAAAAACTTGATTTTAACGAAAAATCCCCGTAATTCCGCCTCGCTCATCGGATTTCAAAAATGGAAGTCGGAGTGATCAGCGGCTTGACAGTGGAGGAAAAAGCGAAAAGCGTCAGAGAACGAAAAGCATTCTCCTGTAATGGAAGTATTCCACAAGCTTACTGAGTTCATGAAAGAAAACCGATACAGCTGCCCCAAATGTCATGCGACCCTTGAAAAAAACGAGGAAACAGAATAGAAATTAAGCTTGTACAACGAACCAGCTTTCCGGGATTTTGGTGGAAACTACTATCACTTTAGGCGACGGCCAACTGCAGCAATAACATTGCATCATCGGTGAATTGAAGCAGCATCGAAACACATCCTACCACACTTCCTAAACTTCCTTTTAGCTGTGGTCGATCCCTTTTCGAAAAAAAGTACTCAAGGAAAGTGCAGTGCCGTACATCTTGCATAGAGACATCTACGGACAAACTTGAAACTCAATCCTCTTTGATCGAGGCCGCAGCAAACTTTCTTCCTTTTTCTCTGCATTTCACTCTCGCATAGCCTTTTGCGACCGCATTGGACTTTCACATTCACCATTTTTCCACGGGTATATGGAGTGCTTAGCCCCTTCCTCTCCTCCAGCGGTGTACCTCTCCCTCCTGAAAAAAACTTTCTCCAGCTGCCACCAGTTTGTGTACCTCCTCGATGCCTTTACACCGCCGGGCCTTCATTTCTCTGCGCTTCTGGCTTTCGCAGCAGGATCCCACCGAAAGTTGATAAGTTTGTCACGTATGTCGCCAATACAGCTGGACGGCTCTCCCGTCTCACCTATATGGCTCAGACGTTGTTGACAAGTCGTTTTTTTAATTGAGGACATAAGGCACCATAGTTCGTTACGTGGTGTGAAATGATATCAAAATGCTTATAGCTGGGTTAAATGGCGAACAAGCGAAGTGACGTGGTCGAAAACTTGCAAAAAAGCCTCTATTACATGACCGAGAGAGCAACTTCAGATGGGTTTTCTGTTGGCATCTGCCAGTAGCCGCTACGGTAGATTCGGCTGCTTGTATGCCCCATATATCCCTACAGCATCGCAGCCGCTTCATATCAATCTCTTCGCTTCACACTGCTTTTCGCAAATGGAGCAACACGAACATTGGCGTAGGTCCCACGTTTGTGAGCAGGCGAGCCCGGACTGCGTATGGTTATGTTGCAGCTTGATAGGGCGCTGGATAAGGTACTTTCCTCGCAAAAGGAGCCACGCAGCGCAGTGACGCCGAATTTTATCCTGCTAGGCGTACTAGTCCTACACATCTTGAGGATTTATCGTGCCACTTACCTTTAACTCGTTGCGTAAGGTTAGCATCATGGCTCGAGCTCATGATAGAGGTGAGGACCAATTTTGCGTCGCTAAGGCATCTACTGCGGAACGATGGCGTTCATAAGGTGCCCAGAAACGGGCAAAGACCTCACGATAACCATTTCCGATATGTTTGACCTTACACGTTTCTTTACAAAAAAGAAAGCTTGATTCGAAGAAATTTGACAAAATCTAGGCCACCGCAAAGTGTCATACTTTTTTATCGGAAGACTGCTGCCACGATTCACCTCAATCCCCTCTAGACTCTAGACGATTTGTCCCCTCTAGAACTCTGCTCTCCTACTTTTGTCAGACTTTTTTACTCATCAATGAGTTACACTTGTTTATCTTTTTTAGCTTGTTGTTAGCTTTAGGGGTTGGCTAATGTACATGGTCTACCTGCATTTTTCTGTCACGTTTCGCTTACGCACAAATAATTTGGTAAATAAATGAATAAATAAAACTTCATCGCGAACCTGACAGCCCCATAAGCAGCTGAACGAGGACATACACTAAATTTCCATCGAATTCGCTTGAGTTTCTACAAAAGTACTGGGGCAGCTCGGAAAGGGCTCCAATTTGTTTTGTTGAAGTGGAAGGCTGCATGACCGTAAACTTGATACCCCATTGTATGGAACGCGTACAGTAATCATTACTCCTTACAATTGGACTGATTTCTTCCTGTATATAAGAGGCTGGGCGGTAAGGTCGTGCATTTTAAAGAACTACTCAAAAACATCAGTCTACTGCGTAAAACATGGTAGATCGACAGCTCGCATCCGAGTTGTGGTACCATGGTTTATTACCTCGAGAAGATATCAAGGTACGTACTGATGTTTGCCCTCGAAACCCATAGCTTGAGCATCTTTGTCAATTATCAATTTCTAGATGATGCTGCGAAATAATGGAGATTTCCTCGTCCGAACCACAGAGCCAGTAGCCGGTCAACCACGAGCGTTTGTTCTGTCGGTGATGTTTAGACAAGAACTGGAAGATCAGGGAGTAAGAGGGTTACTTTTTATGAGAGAGAAGTGAAATCTAGTTGTAGACCAGTGTGAAGAAGATACTGTCAGCAAGTGGCACCTGCTCAGAGTATTTAATCAGATGAAAACTGTGAGTGTAGCTGCGTGGTAAAGGGTGCAAGGATCAAATGAATCAAAGAGTGAAAGAATTTCTGTAATGCCAGGGGCCACTTTCACTGAAAGAAGCCTTGCTCTGCCAAAAAGCCTCCGATATCAGAGTTAGACTCTGTTTGACAGACCAGTTGATGAAAAACAACCCACAAATAATGACTGTAAGTCAACAATGGTCTGTGTGATAATGCTAAAACGAAATGAAGCAGAACCTCTTGCCCGGGTTTGGTCTTTCATGACTAACCGAACGGTCCTTCGGTTAGCATTTCACGAACCTAACTGCGTCTGAATGCTGTTTTGGCCTAGACAGTTACAATTTTTGGGTCAAGCTCCAGAGTAGCCTTCACTTTGGATAGGACCATAAAAGCCACGATAATTTGTTATTGTTGAGATGGTGCAGGGGTGTTATACAATAGTGTGTAGTACGGAGAAAAAGGAGAAAAACGATCACACACCTGCAAAAAAGCCCTCTGTGAACGGCACTGACACCCGAGTTTATATTACTTGATACGCTTAGCACATAGGCGAGTTTCCCGTGCCATTGTGGGCATAACCCCCTTAGGTTACAGCTGCGAAGGTAAGGACAGTCATCTATCCCTGCATACGATTACGTGGACGGCCATGTGCAAGTGGTTGTGCTCCACACTTAACACGTTTTTTGCTCAACCCTGAAGGGCATATGACGTGGACATGGCTAGGAGACCCAACAACTGTATCTGGCTAAAGATGGCATCATCGGTGGAAAAGGTGCGCCCTGGCTGCGGCAATCCGCTCCCTATAGTTTAGTTTGCAGGGAAAATGACTGTATTCGCACATCCATGCGCATCCGGCGCAGCCGCTTTACACCAGTTGTACTCCCGTGATATGAAAAGATAACGAATCAGCTTCGCATGTTGGCTGATTGCTGCCATTTTGTGGTGGAAGCGGTTTGTAGTGTCTGGTTGGGGCATGTTGCACCTAATGGGGTTATAAAACGGTGCCTCGTTGAGAGAAGGCGTAGCCGGTTCTAGTGCGTCGAAGTTGCACAGTCTTCTTAGACTTTGGGAAAAACCGGTTAGATTGAATGGTGCTCGCATGCAAGTGAGGATAAGCCGTATAAGTAGTGAACTCTGCTAAACCGGATGCCAAGCGGAAAGGCACGCTTATAGAGGCAACTGTTTTCCTCAGGAATGCATCTTTTTATTGAAGTGGATCTACTGTAGAACTAAGGATTCTAAGAATAGCACAGAAGGGGAAATCATTCACTGTGGGCGGCCCACAACTGTCGACTCATGGAAGATGGGTTCTGTCTATAGTTTGACGTTGGCTTGTGGTCATTTGAAGGACAAGCTAGTTTCATCACGTAGGATACCGGACAGATAGGACCTGATGGAGGACTTTTCACGTGCCCTTGACTTTCTCCGCAACACCTTCAAGGACACTAAGCAGCTAACATAGAGGAGAGGAGCGATGCAAACGAAATGTACCACGACAAAAATCAGGCGGCGACAGGCATTAAATGGTTTCCCGGAACCTCCTAGCGCTAGGGGATGTCAAGTTCGGATTCATTCTGTCGCACAGCCCTCTGAGCAGGGCATGCAGTTTGTCGTGAAGACTATTGATCGATTAACTACCCTAAACTAGTGAAACGCGGTAAATAGCTGTTACTCATGAAGCAGGAATAGCCGAGTGGTTAAGAGGGTAGGCTCATGTCCGCACTCTGAGCCCCGAGTTTGATACTTACACGCACCATGCCTTGCGAAATTGCAAAAATGGATGCCGATACCAGTGTGGCCTAAGGCAGCGTTCAGACTTCGCGAGGAAAGCATGCGCATCGATCGTCGAATCGCGCAACCGAAGCGCTGCCGTCGCGAAGTCTGAACGCTGCCTAAGTTGGGAGGCCGGTTGATTGAGAACCTCCTCACGACATTTGCGACAAGTCGCAAATGTGTCAATGTCATCCGGGAATCCTACGGAGGTTGCACTCAAAACCCTCCCCGAGTTCTGTGGTCAGTATGCGAGGGCTACGAGGATGAACGACCTCGGCCAAAAGAAGCTAGTTCGAATTGGGACCCTGAACGTGGGGTCGCTTACCGGAAGTCTCGTGAGGCTTGCCGACCTCATGAGACGCAGGAATATCAAGTCCTATGCCTTCAGAAATGCGCTGGGAAGGAGCGAAGGCCCGAGGATGGGGAAGTAATGAAACTCTTCTACAATGGAGGAGACACCGAACGGAATGGTGTGGCCATAACTGTGGCAGGTTCCCTCGACGACTGCGTGTCCTCTGTGGACCTGCCTCTGCCACAGGATCAGTGACCGGATCATGGGAGTGAGAATGGACACGAAGGAGGGGTACTGGACAGTACTGACCGTGTACGCACCACAATCCGGTTGCTCCGAGGCGGAAAAGGATGAGTTCTACCTGACCCTGGACGAGGCCATAAGATCGGTTCCGGAAGTGACCATCACCATAGCTGGGTGATCTAAATGGCCATGTGGGAAGTGGCAGAAGGGGTCTAGAAAGGGTGCACGGAGGTCAAGGAATAGGGACAAAGAACGCTGAGGGAGGACGGATCCTTGACCTAGCCACAGCCCACGACTTAGCAATCTGCAGCACCTTCTTCGCGAAAAGGAGGACTCAGAAGATAACCTACAGCAGTGGAGGGAGACAAACGGAAATCGACCATGTCCTGGTCAGAAGATCGTCTCTCAAAACCGTCAAGGATATCAAGGTACTGCCTGGGGAAGAGCTGGGCCCTCAGCACAGGCCTCTCCTGGACATCGCCATAGACCTCCACAAGAAAACGAGGGTAGGAGCGGAGAA